CTCTCTCTCTCTCTCTCTCTCTCTCTCTCTCTCTCTCTCTCTCTCTCTCTCAAGGCGCAAGGAAAACAAAAAAAAAAAGAAACAGAGAGATTTGAGTCATTATCATTGACACAATACACAACTTGAATTCCAATTGAGTGGGTTTTTTCGTATCTCATTGCACAATTAGAATTAGATCTATCCCTACCAAAGATAGCACAAAACAAGATTGTTCACTCAGCCCGAAAAGTGTTCGCAGAAGTCTGCGCATTGCTTCAGATGGCGCTGGAGTCTTTATTTTGAAGCTCTCTTTCGTTTCTCCAGAAAAAGAATAGGATAAGCACATTTTGTTAATTTCACTTGTATTGCTTTTCACACAAGTAGGGTAACTCTGATCGCAAAGTCAGCAATTTTTCGAAGAGGGCGCTACCAAATTTTGAGGACACTTTTTAATTGGCTCAAAGAGAGGAGTGAACTATCTTATTATACGTGATCTTTGTCCCTACGCGAGGATGGGGAAAATAAGAACATGCTAGCCTAGGCCTAGTAACATTAATTTCCACCCTTCTTTAGAAACACCTGTGCCAATAATATTTTGTAGTATTCACACACCCTGCGCGAATATAATTTCATAGTATTCACACACCCTGTGCGAATAACATTTCGTAGTAATCGTAGTATTCCCACGGTATTCACATACACTGTGCGAATAAAATTTCATAGTATTCACACAGTATTCACACACCCAGTGCGAATAAAATTTTGTAGTATTCGCACACACTGTGCGAATACAATTCCATAGTATTCACAAACCCTGTGCGAATAACTACAGCCTTATTTGAAAGCGCTATCTAAGGATCTTCTTTTCAAATTTTTATCTTTTTTGATTCTCCATACATTCAACGTTTTGTGTTATCATTGTGTTCAGCATATTCACGGAAAATAGAACAAACTATAAGAGGTACATTATGTAACAATTACCTCCAAAGTGAAGATATTGAAAAAATCCGCAGGCTTTATTATTTTTTCAAGGAAAATTTTGTCATTTCTTACGATCATCAACTACTACAACACAAAACTTTTGTCAGCAAGAAAACTGAATATTTCAATTTCTTTTTCAAAAAATAGCTTGTCTCTTTTGCAGTATCGGGACTTGTGAAGACTTTGCTCATGTTATGTTGACAGAATGTTGCAATATCGTTATAGACATAGCATGCAAAATCTGAACCTTACTTGTCGAAAAATGAAGAAGCCTTTGTATTTTCAAAGAGAAAATCTTATTAAACGAGACAAGGTGAAATGTGTGAAAACAATGCGGGGAAGGCAAACTTTACGTAGTATTCTTCTCCGATGCCCAGGAATTATGATTCTATCCTTTCAAATCCCTAAATATTACCCATAATTATACAAAAGACAGGTATAACAGCAAATGTTCTGTAATATAGAAAAATAATAAAGCAGCGCAATTTCAGTAGCACCTCTCCATATATAGCCAAAGGCAACGCGCTGCTACAAGCTGATCTACTCCTTTGAACATTAAAAAAATAAATAAATAAAATAAAATGGCATAAAAATTACCGGTGGTGACAACTGCATCATTGCACGTTCGACATTCGATTGATGAAACATGTATAGAAAAAGTTGAAGCAAGTATTATTTTAAAAGTATCTTACTATCAGCACCGGTGGTGACATCTCCAATATTGCCCATAGAATGTCGGGGAAGCTTTTATTCTAGAGTGAACATTCCATAGAGCACTATGATATACCAACTTTGGAGAAGACTATCTGCCAAGAAAGCAGCTTTCAAACTTTGATTTAATTTATTTTTCGTAGTTAGAGCATTTGGTCGGAAAGTTCGCATGTCTTTCTAAACACACTTGAAAGTGGACATTACACCGACCAAAAAACCCCGCAAATTCTTCTGCGACCAAAAACTGCCAACAATGTATCGCAACGGCCAAAAATCTCCAAAGTAACTCAACCTCAAAGAAGGCTTTAGGTTCTAACACGTACATCAACTCACAATCAAACATTTCAAATTGATGATCAACACCCAAACTGACCCTCTGATGCTGCAGTGACGGTTGAAGGCTGCAAATGTAAAACAATTTTGGCGCCCGGGAAGTTTTTCAAGCAGGAACACCTTCCTTCAAAGGCTGTTGTTAGGACAGGCAATGTACAATTCGACTCTGACGACGAAAACGACGACGAGGACGCCAGGAATGATCTGTGGATATCAATCACATCACCATTGGGGGGGAACTTGACAGCGACAGCGGGCGACAGAATAGGCCGAGCAGGGCCGGGTGACGCCAATGGAATAGGTCTTCGATTGCTCCGCCTGTTTAGCACAAGAAAACAACACTTGAAATTCCCATAAACACGGCGCTGACAGGTATAATGAGCATACGTCTCAAAGAAAACAAGCACAATCAAAACAGAAAGCTGAGACTGACGATGAGGCTTCGGTTCAAAGCTAAACAAAAGACGAGGAGGGACGAAAGCAGGAGAAGGAAGACGAAAACACAGAGGGCGAAGTGAGGGGAGATATAACGAGAAAAAGAAGGGGGGTCCGTTTTTCTTACAAAATTGCGCCGGTCCGTTCGTTATAGAAAGAGCGGCTCGTTCTCGTCACGGAGAAATGTGCCGTGCTCATGACTCTGAAAGCACAGCCCACTAAGACTATATGAAAGGGATTAAGAGGGATTTGCCGTACAAAGCAGTGGGATTAATATAACAGCGTGAGGTGGCAGTAGAAAGATCGGCCCGAGGGAGCGCTGGGCGAGGCGAAATTATCGAAAAGCATACGGGGCCACGGCATTCTTGACACTCATTTTTTTAGGGAGGGTAGGGTGGGTTACTCGTACGTCCACGGCTTAATGATTCCTGCCCCCAACACCATAAGGGTAAACGATCCCAGAGCTGTGTGGTGTGGTGTGGTGGGACAGCGCCCTCCTCTACAACTCAACTCGTTCACACCTCAAAACATCTCAACGTGAGGCTAAAGAAAGAACGAACAAAGGGAAAGATTGAAATAAGAGGATACACATGTACACCAAGATCACTATCAAAGAGGAAAAAAGCCCGGAAGGAGAAAAAAAAGGGGGGGGGGGCAAACATAGTCAACAGAGGCGGCGTTTTTTGAGTAAAGTCATGCACGTCCACATATTAATCGTCATATTTGTGCAGGTAAGAAGAAGAAGAAGAAGAAGAAGAAGAAGAAGAAGAAGAAGAAGAAGAAGAAGAAGAAGAAGAAGAAGAAGAAGAAGAAGAAGAAGAAGAAGAAGAAGAAGAAGAAGAAGAAGAAGAAGAAGAAGAAGAAGAAGAAGAAGAAGAAGAAGAAGAAGAAGAAGAAGAAGAAGAAGAAGGAGAAGGAGAAGGAGAAGAAGAAGGAGAAGGAGAAGGAGAAGGAGAAGGAGACGGAGAAGGAGAAGGAGAAGGAGAAGGAGAAGGAGAAGGAGAAGGAGAAGGAGAAGAAGAAGAAGAAGAAGAAGAAGAAGAAGAAGAAGAAGAAGAAGAAGAAGAAGAAGAAGAAGAAAAAGAAGAAGAACAAAAAGAATAACAAGAAGAAGAAGGGTGGCACGGAGAACGAGAGAGGAGAGAGAGAGGAGGAGGAAGAAGAAGCAGATAGGAAAGAAGAAAAGGGGTAAAAAGGAGCGAGCGAAAGAGGTAGAAGGAAACGACGAGAGGACTTAGAGACGACGGAAAGGGGGAAAATCGATTACTTTGGCGTCAAAAGAAAAGACAACCATTAAAGTCTCATTACGTTAAGATTTTACGGGGAAAGCAATCATTCAATTCAAGTTCGTACAACAAATTCGATAGAAAACATGGGATTTATACGTAAGTACGTCCCTAAATGCTGCTAAGTAGCATAACAATTAGAAATTCGAGATATCTGAGCCCAAAATAATCCTCAAAGGCAAAAATATCAAAACAGCAGCTCTGAGATCACGTTACTTTTATGCAGTCCACTTTGCTTCTTAGAGAAATAAAACGCCAAGAACAGAGAAAGTCGATTAAATGTATTGCTGAAAAAGTGAAGAACACAGATTTACCACAGCCTTCACAAAAAGTTAAGGACCACTTGCAAAAGTGCACGCAAACTAAAAACCAGAAAATCAAATCAATCCTTCTTTGACATTCATCAATTCAGAAGTGAAAAAAAAGAAATTGCATCACAATCGAAACTGAAATGCGCAATTCCCAGCGCTCAAAAGGGACCCGCCCTCAAAATCGAAAAATCACAAAAGAAAGGGTCTCAAAAAGTCTCAGCAATATCAAAGAAAACGACCAGTCTAAGTTCGTGAATGTCAATGAAATTTTCAGAAGCCCGTGTGCCCACCATTCACAGCAAGGCAGTCAAGGCCTCGCTGGCGCATAGAGTTGATCAGACGTGCCAGAGAGGCCTGGGGAATGATGTTCCATTCTTGTTGCAGCCGTCCAAGCAGCTGCTGTCGGTCGGCGGGTAAAGGGTGGTTCTCCCAAACTCTCCGACCAAGCTCAGCCCACAACTGTTCAAGAGGATTGAGGTCTGGACTGTTGGTTGGCCAAACCATGCGGGTAATCCCCGCCTGCTGCACGAAGGCGTTGGCGGCCCTGGACCTGTGCGGCGTGGCGTTGTCGTCCTGAAGGATAGCAGCAGGTCCAATCTGCTACAGCGCCGGGACGACCAGAGGTCGAATGATCTCCAGCAGATACCGCTGTCCTGCCAGGATACCGTCGACATGGTAAAGTGGGGGGGGGGGGGGGGTCTGTGATGCCTGCTGATTCCCCCCTCCAAACCATAATGGAGCCGCCTCCGCACGGGACCACTCATTGAACTGCATTGTCAGCAAGCTGATCCCGTGGGCGCATTCAGATGCGGGTTCGGCCATCACTCGTTGTCGAGATTCATCAGTGAACAGGACCTCGACTGTCCACAGGGCTCGTGCCCACCTCTGGTGCGCAGTGCACCAGATTTGACTGTTGGCTCGCTGGTTCTGGGTCAGCTTAGGTTTTCTGACTGGACGACACGCACGAAGGTTGACGTCATGAAGGTGATTACGTATTGTCTGCGAACTGATTTTGGTGTAGGTGGCAGCTCGCAAACGTCACCTGATGACGCTGGCAGAGCTAGCCCGCTGCTGTATGGCTTGGCGTTGGATGAAGTGGTCGTCTCTCGATGTCGTTTTCTTGGGACGACCTGTGCAACGCCTCTTCTGGACTGTTCCTGTTGCCACGAACTGCTGCCTCAGCCGTATGATGGTGGCATGTGATACCTGAAGTCTGCGTGACACTTCGCGTACCGGTACACCAACTCCATCCTGCAGCCAGGCAATTGCCCAGATCCTGTAGAAGTCGTTCAACTTTTGTCGTGGTGGTATGTGGCTTGGCGCAGAAAAACTGTAACACAGAGCTGAAACGGCAGCTTATGTAGGCAGACAAGTGAGCACAGTTCGTAGCAAGAGGTGCATTCTTCCCCGTGCATTTCGTTTTTGCCATGCAGAAAGCCCCAGGTATCGCTCACTGACGTTTGAAACTCGGTCCAGTTTTGTGCATGACGCGCACGTGTCAACCACACAGTTGTTACTGTATTCACTATTGACCCCTTAGCCTTGCTACCGAATTTTACAAGATCAATCTGATCATTTAAACATGATTTCTTGAAAATACTACCTATTATCCTGACTGGTCTTTAACATTTTGTGAAGACTATATGATTGTAACTTGACGGAGGGCTTTCACTTTCAGGCAGCCAAAAGCTGCTTTAAGACTTGTTTTTTCGATATTTTGGGAGGGGTACGGGTAGGGGTGGGTTGGGGGCAGTTATGTACAATTTGCTGCCTTTGGTAACCGGTCTGAGAAAGCCTGGTCTTCTTCGTCACCTCAAAATGCCTTTAACATACGTAACACTAAATCTAAACATCCCGAATTCTTTGTCCTTTTCCGGAGAAGACTTGGTCACAAACAGTAGACCATAGGTTGAGGAAAGGACCCAGATAGGCGATAAGAAAGTACGGCAAACAGACGATCATGAGTAAATATGTGGAATACAAGAGATAAGTTGACCGCACATTTGCTCTCTTGACAAAAGAGCAGATCGCTGAGTTTTGCCAGCCAAATAAACGGACGAAACACAGAAATGAGGCAAGACCAATTTAAAGGTAGCGCTGAAAGACTCAACCACAATCAGATTTGACAAACGAGACAAACAGGCAAATAAAACATCGACATGGACATTATAAATTGACTACTTTCCTTGTCTCCCTGCGCCTACAGGTAACCTGCAACTAAATATCACTGTGTATTTTTGTTATTTATTTGTTGTTGTTGTTGTTTTTTTTTACCCGTAGGCCAGTTGCGCCTTTCATAAGTTTTCTTTTCCTCGCAGAAACCTGTTATGCGCTCAATTACGGCCACAGACTCATGGATCAGTAGTGTTGCCGTTAGAGCATGGCCACCGAAACCAAAGATTGCGGACATCTAACAATGTAACAGGCTTCGATTTTTAATAAATGTCAATATGCTGGATTGCACAAAATTAATCACGCCAAGACAACTCTTACAAAAAGAGCAACAGATCAATGCGTAGACGCCACGCACAAAAGCTATACAAAAAGAGGGTGGAAGAAAATGCACAGCTTTTTTACTCTCAGTTACTTTCGAAAAAGCCAAACATGTTGGATTCGACTTGTCTTGATTTGTCTATTATATTAGTTGTGTGGCCCCTGTGTCGCACGATGCCACCAAATACGCGTAACACAAATCGCTCGCAAATCTGTAGACACACGAGTGATAAATATGACACTCCCTTGTCAGAAAGCGACCAAATTTCCGTGCCACTGCCGGCTGGAAGCTCATTGGAGAACGCGGTTTCACCCGACAACAGTGTGCGCTGAGTCTCCAAGGGAAAGTTCTGCAACCTAGCAATGCACACACGACACCCCGGAGAGCGTATCGCCCGGAAATCTTATCAACTTTCCTTTGCACCGAAAATGGATAGTGACCCACACTGACAGTAACATTTCAATAACATGGACACCGCTCATTCAGTTTCAGGGCTGATCGAACGATGTTTGTTGTTTGCTTGCTATAGTTCGTCTGTTCTTTACTGGCCTGATCAGCAACAACCATCAATCTGTTCTTCAAACAATTTCAATCAAAGCCAAGGCCACTACGTACGTCCATGTGCAAACACATAACTTCTACGTTGTTCTCATATAAAAGGAAGATCCATGTCTCCGATTTTGCAGAGACTATACTATAATATCGACAGTCCCTAAGGTCCGATTAAAAAAAAAAATATAAATCATGTCGACTCGATCAGTCAGATGCAACTTGCAGAAAGCATCGATTTGCAGCATACACTTTGTGTCGTTTTCTAGGTATCGCAAGAGATCCCGATTAGGCCCTATAAGTTTGGGTGAGACACAATGTCCCAACAGAAAGACATGGACACTTGACGAAATAGAACTTATTCAGGTACTGCATGCACCTCTTGGGCATACAAAATCGCACGGCCAAACCGATCTACTGTGGTAGTAGAGCTGATGCCGCCGCTGTCTCTGCCACTACTATCTATCTATCTATCTATCTATCTATCTATCTATCTATCTATCTATCTATCTA